GGGCTTGCAGGAATCCCCAGACCCTGGCCCCAGAATGGGAACCACCCTGCTCCACGCTGGGCTGAGCAGCCCTGCCTGCAGCCTCCCAGCACCCTCACCTCACCGCTGAGCCAAGATTACTGACACATACTTTGAGCAAGTCCCAGCAAGCAGGCAGGGGCTCCTGTGCCCGAGGCCGTCCATTTGCCCGCGTCCCTGGGCGGCAGTGGCACGTTTCCCCAGGAAGGAATGTGGAAGTGCTGAAGCATCAGACACCTCCAGGGTGTTACCCGGGGAGGGCAGAGCCCATCTCCTCATGTGATGCACAGCTGGGCCACAGGGTGCCATCCTGGTGCCAATACCCAACAGCGGGCTGGCCAGGGTCCTGTTCTCCCAGACTTCCACAGTGTCTAGCCCAGCCTGAGAAGCGGTGAGGGTGCTTGAGTCTAGGATACATGCATGCAGGGGAGGAGGGCAAGTGGGCCGGGTTGCCAGGCTGGGATGCAAGCATGCCAAGGAGGGCTTAAGTGTGCTTGGGGCTGTGCTGTGCTGGGGTGCTTTTTTGAAGGCTCTGCCGAGGACCCTGCACACTTGTAGTGCCCATCTGACAGGAACCACTAGACCAACTACCCCAATCTGTGCACGGAGGGGACTTGTCAGGACTGTTAGCTGGTGGTGACCATGGGTGGGAGTGGTAGGGCATCCTGGAGCCTGTGGGACCCCCACCTGGAGGGCTGTCCCTTCCTCCAAAGACAGGCACCACCTTCCAAGTACCACTTGGGAAACTAGTCACCGTCAGGAGGCCTTTCCTACACTGAGCAGTGATCGGCCCCCTGGCCAGCCTGGTCTGGCCTTCCCTGGAACCACATAGAAACCCATTCCTCCTTCCCCACTGCCTCTCGGGCGCCCAGAACAGGGGGGCCTCCTCCTCATGCTTCTCAACCCTCCAGCCATGCTTAGGAAGGCAAATACAAACTCTCATGCTTGGTTCAACCACTTGTATGGCAGGTGCAGGATGGTGAGGTGCAGAGGGCAGCAGTCCCCTTGGACGACCTCCTATGTGGGCTCCGCAGGGGCTCCAGGCTTGCTGGGAGATGGGCAGGGGTTTCTCGGGCTGTCTAGTGACAACATGGCATTTGGTTTTTTAAAAAATGTCCAGCCCATTACTATAACATACATAAAGCTGCTGCATGAGAAAAGAACACAAGACATAAACCTTCCATGATGTTGCAAACACCTATCTACCATTTCTGTTCTTATTTTGTGGACCACTGCCTGTGGGTGGGCTTTGGCCTTTGGCCACTGTACCACCAACACTAATGGACATCCAGGCCCTACTTTCCTATCCTGGCAGAGCCTGGGGGACAGGTAGCCCCTTCCCTGTGGGCTGACTGCACGCTGACCTGCTGTGGGGAGAGGGCTTTATAGCTTCCCTAAGACCCTGTTCTTCCTTGACTCCATTTGCCCCATTCTTTGCCACAAATGATTCTAGCGGGTTCATGCAAATGAAACAGAAAATCATTTTATAACAAATGACAACACCCCGTGAAGTGGAGGGGCCGTTGGCCTGAGAGAAGTGGCTGCACACAGGCTCCATACAGTACTGAGCACAGGGGATCCAGTCACAGGGTCCCAGGAGGGAGGGTAACAGAGTTTTTGCACCCTGGGGGAGGGTGTGCCGGGAGGGCAGTTAAGAGCTAGAGAGAAAGGACAGTCCCCTTGCTGGTTGTATACTTGTGGCCACTAGACACTGCCCCTCCACCAGAGGGTGTCCATTTGTGGTTCCCTGGGGCATGATGCTCCCAGCACCCTGACATCCTGCCACAATGGCGGGAGTCAGTTTGGTATCTGGATTTCTCTGCTGTTAAAGGCTAGTTACTGCCACCACCAGCCCTGGGGACTGCAGAGAGACAGGGACAGAGAGGGAGAGATAGAAACATCCTCCTCCTCCTTCCCTACTGGCCAGCCAGGGGCTGCCAGCCACTCACCTGGAACTCATGTGCACCTTCCCCCTAAAACAACAGGGCCCATTGAAGAAGGCTGGATGGATCCCACCTCTCCAAAGGCAAGACCCACATACTGGCATCGGAGACATCAGGCAGAGAGGGAGTTCCAGAAGATGAGGGGCAGGTGATGGCCCAGCTGTCCCTCCTTGGGCAAACTGCATGCCCAGGAATGTGCATGGGTGTAGGGGGAGGGGGCTTTAGCTGCCAGGGAGCACATCCCAACTGAGGGAGGGCGGGTGGGAATGGGGCAGTACAGAATGGTGAGGGTGCAGGGCACTGGTGCCATGTGGGGGAAGCCAGGCTGACCTCTAGAGTTACCATCAACACAGACACGGGAAGAGGGGGAGAGGCTGTTGCCTGTGGAGTACTGTTCTTGGGGATTTCAGGTGTCCCTTGGCCCTGACACCTGTCCTGTGTTCACCTGGGCCCTTCCGCTCAATTTGAATTCAAGAATCCAACCTAGAAAGGGGAGTTGGGGAGAGGGGCACTGCCTACTTGGGACTGTGTATGGGCCTCAGCCCATCACCTCTCGGGTCCCTTATACAGGTTCCCCACCTTTGTTCAGTACACGAGGAGCCCAGGACACATGCTTAGAGGTCCCTGCAGCTCTGACATCCAATCTTAGAACCAGCTCTCTGCTGCTTGGCCAGGACTTGCTTTGTACCTCGGGAACCGCGTGATGGTCACTACTGAGGTGCTGGGGAGCAGTGATCCTGCAGGTTCCCACCGCCGGCTTCGGGCAGCGCCATCCCTCCGCCCTTCCCCCCTCCCACTGAGCGCCGCACCGACTTCCCTAAAGACTCCCGAATTGTGCTGCTTCCTGATTGTTTCTCAGGTGAGGACACTTTCACTTTCAAATGCAAGGAGCCAAGAGCCGTGGGGGCAGGGGCTTCATTTTGGAGGGGGGAGATGAAGTAGATAACCAATTAGGTAGGTGACTGTGTGCAGGAGAGAAGTTACAGAGGGTCAAGAAGTTGCAGAGAGTCCCCGGGGTGGTGCAGGAGGGAGGGGGCGGGGGCAGGAGGAAGGAGGAGCTATCAGTGTGAAGCCCCACCAGGTAGGGTGCAGAAGCCAGAAAGCCTCCCTCTGCTATTGAGCCCACTGCTTCTCCACGAGCCCTCCTGTCTACCCAGCCTCTGTGCGCTGTGCGGAGACTGTCCCTTCCCTTGTCCAGCTGGCCCGGAGGCAGAGAGGAGGCAGGAGGGCAGATCAGTGCCAGGAGGCACCATGGGTCTGGTCCACCAGAGACGCTTCTGAAACAGAACAGAATGGGGTTCCATGGCACCCCCTTCCCTCTGAAGCGAAAGGGCTGTTCAGACACTGCTGGGGTGCGTGGCTAAGCCAGAGGAAGAGGCTAGGGCCAGACGCCCCTGCCCGCTCTCTTGGGCCTTGCGGGCTGCACAGAGTATGTGTGGTGCAGTCTGTACCCAGGTCCATTCAGATGGAACACACGTGGCCCAGGTGGGGAGAGTGGCATACATGGGTTGGGAGGGGGCAAGGCCAGGACCCTCAGGGCCAACGGGGCAGAGATCTCACGGGCGTGGGTAGTCCGGAAGTTGGTGACAGGGAGCTTCTTTACGGGCGCAGCTCGGGGGCGAAGGCGCTTGCTCTTGCGCCCATGAATGCCGCGGCGGGTTCTAATGAGAAGCCTGCGCCGAGAGGGCGGTCGCGGGGCTCTCTCCTACAGCTCTCCTGGCTCCCCGCGGCCGGCAGCCCCGGCGTCAGGGTCCTCGCGTCCAAAGGCACGCGCGCAGCCCGCGCAGCAAGTCCACCGACGCTGCAGATGACGCGCGGGTGTGGGGCCGGGGCGCCGGGCTCGGAGCGGAGTGCGCGGACCGCCGCCCCGCCGCGTCTCCAAGTCCTTGAACCAACCCTGGCCTCCCTTCTGCCCAGCCCCGCCGGGCTGCGCCTGGACCCGCGTCCCTACTAGGGCGCCCTGCTCCCAAACCATCTCGAAGAGAAAAATTATTATCGGATTAGATGTACTGCTTGCTCAGTCTTCCCTTTCCCCTTGGCGTAATTATTATAATTCCAGGCAAGCTGCTGGAGAGGGCTCCTGGGTGTGCGCGGGCGCATGTGTGTGTGGAGGCTCCTCTCCAACTCCCGGGCTCATCCAGCGGCGCGTGGGCCCCTTGCGCCCGCACGCCCCCATCTGCTGCTCCTCAAATCTTGGGCTCCTCGGAGTGCCCTCACCCCGGGAGTCGGCGTGGGTGACCTTGGCCTGTGGGGGGTTCTGCCGAATTAGATGCCCCGGGGGTGTAATCCTGACCTCCCACCCCCAAGATAAGTAAGCCCTGGGAACCCTTCTCTTGGGTTTTCTGCCCTTCGTCCCCAGATTTGGGAGGGTCTCACCGGAATGTGCCAGTCGGGGGCAGAAGATAGAGCCTCGACCCTCTCAGAGGTGGATTTCCACCGCCTCTCACCCAAGTCCTCAAACCCGAAGCTTTCTCGCTCTTGATCTCAAAACAGCCCCACTTGCCACCACGGACCAGGCAGAGAAGCCCTCAGGACACCCGGCCGGGACAGCGGCGGAGAGGGACCAGGCGATGCTGCCCGGTGCAGCCACTCCCGCCGGTCCGCTGTCTTTACGTAACTGCGCTGCCCGAGTTGTTGGGTCTTGTCTCCGACTTTGTTTTAAGGAGCGCGCGCTCAAAACGCAGTCCTTAAGGGCAGTCTCCGGCGGGGCTTGCTCTCCGCCGGGCTGCACCCGGCTGGCAGCCCGGCGAGGTGCCATCTGCGCGGACGCCCTTCCCGCCTCTCCACTGCCCGCTGCGCGCCCCTCCAGGCGCGGGGGCCCCTCCAGGCCAGGGGAGCAGTGTCCCCGGAAGCTCCACCACACGCATCCTAGCCCCAGCCCGATCAGGTCGAAAGTGGCCGCCAAGAAAAACAACCCGCCCGCCGCCCGCCGAGCCGGAGGGGCAGGGCGCGGGCTCCTGGCAACCGCGAGCCCTGCCCGAGGGGACGCCAGTTGGGGACGGCACGGGGACCGGGCGCACGCGAGGAAGGCTCACTCACCACCAGATCGGGTAGCTGCCCAGCGCCTGCTTCAGGCCGCAGAGGAATAAGAAGTATCCGAGCAGGGCCATCGCCGGGCGGGGAGCGCGGGCGCCGGGGCGGGCCAGGCCCTCTGAGCTGCGGGCGGCGGCGCGGGGCCCTACGGAGGCAGCGGGATGCGGGCTCCGAAGGCGGCGCTGCGCCAGGTGGGCCGGTGGCCGGGCTGAGGCCCCGGGCCCGGGGCTGCTCGGGACGGAGGGGGCGGGGCAGCGCCGCGGGGGGCGCCCGCCGGGGCCGGGGCGGGGCGGGGCCCTGGGAGCGGGCTCGGCGGCGGCGCTGGCCCCTCCCGTGGCCTCTGGGTGCGCGGGGTGCGCCGGCTCCCAGCGTTGCGCTGTGCGGGATGGGCGGCCAGCGCGGTCCTGGGCGGCGTGGTCGGCGGGCACTCATTTGCTCAGAACTCGCCAGCCGCACCCCCTCAGGACTCCTGGGCACGCCTGGGTGTGGAGCCTCGCGCGCGGCGCTCCCCCTTGGACGCGCTGCCCCGCTGTTGCTCCTGCTCTGTCGTGCGCTCTGTTCCTTGCCCTCGAGATGGCCAGGCTGCGACCCCCTTTCTCATTCCCTGGCCGGGGATCTGTTCGTCCTCTCAAGGCGGACCGCGGGTCCCTGCTCAGCTGGGAACCGGGCTGCCCGCGGAGAGCACTGGGAATGGGGGCCACCTACCCTGGGGACAGCAGCTGGGTGGGCGTCTAAGGTGAAGCCCTCTGCCTGAATGTCAGGGCTGGGAAGCAGTCGGGCTGTCTGGGCCCAGGTGTTAGGGCCCCCCACTTTATCCCCCACACCCCACCATGGAAGAGAACCCGCAGTCCCTGGAGATGAGGGGTTGGGGACAGTGTTGCCACTGGGATCTCCCACTCATGGCAGCCAGCCTCTTTGGCCAGAAGGGATTTCTGGCAGCCTGTGTAAGCCTTTGATGTAGCTGATGGAGAAAGAGACTTACCCAAGATCTCAGGAAACAGCTAGCCATCCCCAACTTGGTAGCCCACCCCAAGTTCCATTTGCATCTTGCTCTGTAGCCCAGGGAGACGTCAGAGAGCTTTATTTGGATAGGGCAAGACCCACTTCTCCCCAGCTTCTCCCAGGTACAGGAGAGCCAACAAGAGGTGGGACATGGGAGAAAGTCAATGATGTGAGGTCAGCTGTCGTAGCAGGAGTTCACGCCACCATCTCGGACGGGGATGTAAGACTCCAGCCCCCTGTGGACGGCCGGCTCTCACCAAGCCACCTGTAGATTGCGGGGACAGGCCACAGGGTGGCACTGGCTGCTTCTTGAGACTGGGGCTCAGCGCCCCTCCAGGTCTGGCACTGGCTGGAGAACCAGAGGCAGGCCACGCCCTACCTCATGCTGCCCCACTGCTTGGTTTCCCCATCTGCTAAGGGGGCCCATGGGGTCCAATGGCCCCAGGGGTCACCCGGTGACTGTCAGGAGCCCCACCTAGGGCAAGCAGGAGCCACTCTCTCTCAAGGAAGTTGCCTTTCTTCCACAGTGCCTTTGGGATCCAGCTAAGTCTATGCATGCCCGGTCCCTCTAGCCCTCCTCTGAGTCACTGCATGCCCCCCAACCTCAGAGGGAAGGAGGGAAGGACTCTGGAATGAGGTGGGTGGGCAGGGAGCTGGCTTGTAGTCCTCTGGACTTCCCATCCCTCAGAGAAAATCCCACCCAATTATCACATTACCAGGGGCCTGGGCTGTGGAGTGGAGGGGGTCCGAGCCCGAACTCCCGTCCCTGCCTCCCCAGATGTGGGGCCCGGGGATTAGAGCCACAGTGGGGAGTACCTCAGAGGCTACAGGCTCCACACACACAGAGGGCGGCGCAGGACAGAGCAGGTGGGTGCTGTTTCCTCAGGTCCCTCCCGGCCCTCTCCTGCCAGGCCCCTCTGGGTGCCCCTGCATCTTGCTTCTCCCTCCTCTGTGGTGCCAGGTGATGGGGAGTGGCAAGTGAGCTGGGTAGCCTCCCACAGTGCAGGGGGAGAGAGTGAGGGGTGAGGGCTCCCCGTTCTGGGGCCCTTCCTGAGGATGTGCAGTGGGGCGAGCTGCAGGGCAGCTGGTGGTGGGTGGCATAGGCTGGGGGCTTCAATTTTTCCTTCACCCCCTGTGACATTTGTGAGAGCCTGGCCCCCCACAGTCCATGTGAGTGCAGAGAGGAGAGTGGCAGGGAACCCAGAAGGTGGCCAGACCTCAGGGGCAGGCTGGTGCGGTGGCATTGCCACCTGAGTCTGATGGCAGAGCTGCCAGCACTCCAGGGATCCTGCAAGGCTCAGCGGCGCTGATGGGGGAAAAGGCCCCATTTTGCTGGGCCATCCAAGCCCCAGAGTCTGCGTCCTGAGAGTCCAGGAGCCCGGGGGCAGGGTGGGATTCCTTCCTGTTCCCTGACTCTCAGCTGGAAATTCTGCACCCCGGGGCCTGTCTGCCTAGTGTCATGGTTCCCATGGTGGCCCCCTCCCTGTTGCCCACTGAAAGTGAGGGCACCTTCCTGGCAACGCCCTCTGCTGTCACGCAGGGGAAGTGTACCTGCTGTACCCATGGCCGGTCTGTTTAAACATCGCTTCCCTTTCTGGATGACCTGGAAGAAGGATGCATTGCTGCCCCACTGGAGGCTGCTGGAGACCCCTGCTGGCCCTGTTCCCCCCAGAATGAAGGAAACCAGGGGTCCCAGGGATCTGAGGCCCCAGCTGGGGGGCAGAGAGAAGACTAGGTGTGGAGTGAGGGGAGGCTAGAGGAGAGAGTGATTTGCTTTCCAAGGTGGCGAGCCCTCCTTCTGCGGTGGCATCGGAGTCCCTGTGTGGCAGGTGACAGGTCCCTTCTGTATTGGGTGGGAGGAGCCAGGATTCAGGCTAACTGCTGAATTGCCTGCTTCCTTTCCAAGGCAAACCTGGAAAGCCAAGAAGGGTCTGGGAGCCAGAGGACTGAAGGTCAGGGAGCCCATGGCTGTGGCCCACAGGGGCTGCCACAAAGCAGGACAGGGACTAGGGTCATAAGGGCAGCTTCTTCCTGTCTCCACATTTGGCCCTAAGACCCTTCAGGAGCTTCTTGACCCTCTGTGGGGGTCCTGGGGGCACCTGCTCCTCAGAGGTGGCATGCTGGCACTCAGGCTGGTTTGGGTGACATTCAGTCCCCTTCCTTTGTGCCCTGCCCCAAAGAAATACCTAACCTCTAACCTTGACATTTTTAGGCATCTTCTGCTTAGCAAGCAATCAGGTCCAAACATGATAATTAGTAGCTCTTTAGGGAAAAAAAAATTACATAAGTAAAAAGAAAAAGATGGTATTTTTACATCACTGGCCCATGACTGCAGTTACCCAGCCCTGGGAAGCCTACCTGTGGGTGGGCAAAGGACATCCCACTTTCCACTCTACACCCATTTTTGCTGGTGCTTGCTTTTTGTCCTAGCTGCAGCCAGTCACCCAGCCAGTCACCAACACTATCACTCCCAAGCAAGAAGGTGCGGTCCTGGCAGGAAGGCAGCTACTGGGAGCCAGTAGGCATGTCTCCTGCAGGTGATGGTCCTAATGTCTCTCTGAGCTGTGGCACCCTGCGTGGGTGCCTCAGCACATGGTTTGAGAACCATGGTTCTAATGCCCTGAAACACTGTTCCCTGCCACTGGGGGGCATCTAATCAGGCTGCAACATGGGTCATGTCTTTTCCCTACAAGGAATGTGCACATTCCTGTTCTGTCCAGCCCAGACTCCCTTGCTCTCCAGGAGGATCTCCCTGTAAGGGCCTGCTGTTGGGTCAGGTGACCTCTCCAAGGCCCTGTGGCCCCATGAGGACACCACACACTCTGGGTCCTGATCACACACAGCTCCAGGCGAGGGGGCTTGGGAGGCTTAGACACAAGGCTCACATGACCCCAGAGGGAGCAGGGGCAGGACCAGGACAGATCCCTTGCTTGTCCCGAGAGCAAGTCTGGATACTGGCAGTACAATGCAGCATTCCAAGACACATGGGAGGACCACACGTGGATGGACAGTGAGGGTGGGCGTGCCTGCAGACAGCCCATGCAGTCTGTGCACACTGAGAGCTGGGGGGAAGGTTCCAGAGTGACAGAGACCTCGTCTCTGGACCCACTCCCAAGGACCCTCCTTGCCTTTCAGGACATCTCCTCAGGGACCAGAAGCCCAGCTGTGCCTCCGGACATCACTGGGTAGCTGTCATCACAGGTTTGCTAGGGTCTACCCCTAAGCCAGATGAGTGTGTGCATCCAGGTGGGCAGCCCCAGCTCAATGTCTTTCTCTGTTGGACCCAAACCCCCATCCCTCACCCCAGGCTCTCCTCTCTCCATTTAGGACATGGTCACGTGGGAGGCATGGATGTCCTATTCTCCTTACAAGCTGCATTACTCTTGAGCCCATGCTCCTTGGATGGACTGAGGTGGCCTGGTGACGTGGGAATTGCCAGGGGAAGGACTGGATCCCAGAGTCACAGAAGCAGGGCCACCAAGTTCCAGCCCCCTAAGTAGGGCATGATGCATTCTGTCCACAGGAATGAGATGTGGGCATTGCCCTCACAGATCCCCGGGGACAAAGCTATGAATAAGTAGGGCCACTGGATGCTGGGATCTGTAGACTGAGAGCCTCAGAAACACAAGAAATCAGAATTTGGGGATAAAAGCCAGCACTGTGGATGCTGGAATCCTGGACTATCATCTGTGACCCTGGGGTTTCAGTAATCTGGGGGCTGGAATTCCTATAAAACGAGGGCGTGAGCCTAGCCTTTCTGTCTGACATGCCAAGTTCTCTTTGGAAGCCACCCAGTGGGGCCATTCGTGTTTGCATGGCCTCCTGCCCAAGTTCTGCTTCTGGGACAACACTGCCACCACGTGGGGACACTGGGGGAGGGGGCATGCATAGGACACCTGGGGTCCCCCATTTGCAGTCAGCACTGGCCCCACTGTGGGTGGGACACACACCCCTACCTGGTCCTCAGAGTTCCCACCTCCTGAGGGCAGATGACCTTCCTGATAATGGAGGTTACCATAGTCTCTTCTGGTCTGTGTTTGGCATGGTGGGTGACCTGCTTGGTCCTGAGACCACT